ACAGAATTGAGTCAGCAACTGATACTTTAATTCCTTTGAAGAAACGTACCTAAAGGCCAGCTTATCGTTAACATTTCACGCTTGATTCTAACTCTGCCTCCATAATCTCCTCTTTACCTACACTCATTCCTCTCCGACAGGTACCAATGCTGAATTGCAACTGGGAGACTGACTCCTTCGTAATGAAAGTTCACCCCGTAACATTAAATCTTTCTGGGGTAATGACTTCCCAGCGACCACGTTGAGATTTCTCAGGATCAGCAGTTTCTGTTACCTCTCAGACACGCTTTTTCCATACTGGCAATTTCACATGAACTACATTTCAAGACCCTGGAAGCACAGTCTTAAGCTTTAGGCTGTAGGAATTTTCAGTGTAAGATAATGCAATTAGTCACAACAGTTGAGAAAAAAATGTAGCCAAGGACTGACAGTTCAAGCCCCAAAACAGCTATCCCACATTTGAGACAGCAGTAATGACAGCCTTCTGTCACTTTGAGAGCACACAATGACATAAATAGTTTCTTTTCCAAATGAAATGAGCCACGTTTTGTACTCTGCTCTGCTGAGCTCAGCCTTTCTTTATATTAGTATCTATTAACTAGCACTGCAATACTCAGTTTCCAGGAATACTATTCCTTTGTGTTATTGCCCTAAATGACACATGCTCAGGGTTAAGCTTAAAACCAAAACCCTCAACATTTAATGCTAGATCAGCTAACATTCATTACAAGAGCCCATTAAATCTCCCAGCATAACAGAATAATGCCATCACAGACAGGCACTCCAATACAAAATACATTAAAAAAAAGCCATTCTTGCTTCTCAGACCTGATACATTTCAGTCAGTTTCTACAATATCACATATTCGATGCACACCTTAGGTTAAAACATAGCAATGAAAGACTTTTTACAGTAAACTTAATGACACTGTAAAGGTAAGCAGGACACAAACTGCTCGTGCTTTTCCTTCAGTAAATGCACACTGTTTCTTTCTAAATGTGCTCATGTAATGTACTTAATAATTTACGCAGGGGAATGAGGAACAGTTTTGGTGCTGACAGTCATTTCTCTGCCTATTAACTATTTATAGGGTAATGCTAGCATTGGAAAGAGCCTTTGAAGCAATAGCAAAGGTTTGGCAAAGCTTTCATCGTATTAAACACAAAATGTGAAGCTTTGTGTTCACAGCTACCACCGCTCATTTGTCACATAGGAATTTCTTCTGAAAGCAGAAGCCACCACAAGCCACAGATTTCTGTCCTGCAGCCTTAATGAAACGGTCACAGATCTCACCTTCTGCGTCCTGATTTCATTGCACAAGTTTCTTTAATAAGCTGCATTTCTCCAAGGTTAAGCCACATTGGTCATTAGTTTCTCCTCACTTTCATTCACAGAAATTACTATACAAAATCATTTCCAAAACGGTTTGGCACCCAAATTTTCCACGACCTATTATGAACTGGAAGGAGGTTCAGAGATTGAATCCCTCGAAGCCAAGATTAACGATGGAAGAAAATACACTGCCATTCATAAACAATAGCAGGATTTTAACTCCTCTGGCTGATAAGCAGTATTATGTACCAGATGTTTCGGAAGACAAAGGTTTCCTCATGCTCGTATGTAATTTATAACATGGTTGAGATGAGACAGAGGAAGCAACCAGCAGTTGGGATGTCAGTGTTAATGTACAGAGCATCCTAAATAGTAGCACGAAATCATCCAGCTTCTCTAAAACCCTGAAGTGACACGTACACACACCAGAGTGTGTGACATTTTATTTTCTCGCATAGTTTTCACAATGGGTGAGAGGAACTGCTGACTGAATGAGCCTCCAAATAAAGGTTGATGAAGATTTCTAGAGAAATCTTTCTACTTTTACAGAAGTACCAACTAATACTGTTTCATCTGAACTCAGCTTGCTAGGTCTCATATTTGGCATATTTATGTTCTCCAAAGTATTCTAAGCAAGTTATCTTCTTAATTTTGAATTCCTCTGCTGCAGACAGTAAGAAGTCAACGAACAAGTTAGAATAAATTGTGATGTGTCTGGCTTGCTCTTGTTGCCAAGCTACTAAAACCCTTTTATGGCAAAACTGTTAACAAGCTGTAGTTGCACTTCTGAGAACGCAACGTAGCATCAATCTGAACACGGCAATAAAGACAAGGATTACAATCCTTGAAGGCATTTTGGTGGGTGTACAGCATTCAAGGACTTCCAGACCTCTCTAATTTACAGCATCCTCTGACTCAACCAGCTCCCACTGCTGCCTGGAGCTCTTCTGTTACAAATTCAGAACTTCTGGAAATTGAAACACATTTACAACCTAACCACTGAATTGGAAAGGAAGGACCTCAAGGGACACCTCCTACAGCTGCTGGAGTCTGGCTTACACAACAACAGGTCGTTGACCTGCCGGAGCATAACTTGGAAGGTGTGTGCTGGATACTAGAAGTTTCTCCTCAGAGCAGACAAGCCTCGAACAGGCTGCTCCTCAAGGAGGAGATGGAGTCACCGTCCCTGGAAGCGTTCATCAAACGCGTAGATGTGGCACTGCGGGATGTGGGAAGTGGGTGATGGGCTGATGGTTCGGTTAGGTAAGTTTAGTGGTCTTCTCCAACTTGAATGATTCTATGATTTCAGCTACCAGAAAGTCTATTTGAGGTGTGGAACACAAGTTCAAACCAGAAAACTTAATTCCTAATAATTAATGTACATCTGAAAGGAGGAGTCTGTCTTGCACACTCCCAAAGACTTCTGGTTGTTCAGTTTACCATGTGTGAAGTTTGCCAGCTGAGTCACTTCTCCATTTGCCACTTCTCAGAAAGTTTCTCAAGCCATACTAACCTCACACTGAAAACAAGTGAATGTTGTTGCTCAGGGAGGTTGTGGATGCCCCATCGCTGGATGCATTCAAGGCCAGGCTGGATGTGGCTCTGGGCACCAGCCTGGTCTGGTGGTTGGTGACCCTGCCTGTAGCAGGGGGGTTGAAACCAGATGATCTTTGAGATTCTGTTCAACTGAGGCCATTCAATGATTCATTCTATGATTTACCAGATCACAAAGCAGACAGATGTTGAGGTTGATAAAAGTAAACTGAACCGTGTAAGAGGTAATTACAAAACAGGTATATAAAGTCACCCATGAACAGCTTAACCCTTCAGTGCAGCCAATGTTATTTATTCCTCTGCTGAAGGGGAATGTGAGCCAGAGAACCCAAAATCTAACACCTGTAACCAGCTACCTCCATTTCAGCTCTACGCAGCAGTGAACATCGTCACTGCATCCCTGCGGTCTTCTGTCGTTTTGCCAGCTTTTCTAGAAACAAGTGCTCTATTCTTGCTTTCCCTTCCCCCAAATCCCAGCTTTATTTTGATCACTGGGGTTAGGGAAGGAAGGGAAGAGATATTTTTCCAATTATCTGGAGGAAACAGATTTGCTAGAAGAGCTCACAAAAGAAATGTAAACTAGCGAGTGATCAGTAATCAAAAGGATGGTTTGTTTATACTGTCTGACCTTAATCATTGGTAAGGTAAAGTCAACTTAGCCAGCTATACATTTTAAACATCCAAGTGCCAGCACAAACAAGAAAGCAAGCAAAAAGTATAGGTCACTTACAGAAGTGGGGTCTTCTCCACGCTAAGCATGACACAAGTACTTTGCATGCATGGTTGACAGTAATTGAATCAAAGCTCCTAATACAACTCAAGTAGCTTAGACATCTGAATTTGGACTTATCTAAAACCAAAATACCTTACAGACATTATGAGCTTTCTTAGATGAAGATAATACATGTTTTGTTCAGCAAGTCAAGTCAATTAGAAAGCCTCTATTTAGAAAACACATATAATCCATTCCCATTATCATTGAGAGATCAAAAGAGGGGCACATGAGCTCCAGGAATGAAAGTTTCCAGGAAATCTTGGAGCAGCAACCCACCAGGATCTCTCACAGCTCTGTCTGCATCGGTTATTGACTCATCTGCTGATCTAAAATAAATCCACTAGTAATTTCATGTGAAAGTACATTTTTAACTGCAAGAAGAGTGCAGGAAGGAACATGTGCATTGGCATGCTCACACATTTTATCTCATATATACTTTTTTTATCATATGAAATGTTTCATTTCAAAAGCTGACCTTGAATTTTTAAAACAATGTTGTAAATGCTGTTCAGTGAACATTTTAGAGACGTGGCTGGGTGCTTCTCGTTGCCTACAAGTGAGCATGGTAAAGGAACAACTGCATGTGTAAGCCAAAGCAAACAAACAGTATTCATATATTGTACATACTTCTACACAATGTAAACACATCAACTTATTCACATGCTCCGTGCAGTGCTTCCATTAACACTCATGTAATATTTTCTGATATCTGACAGAGAACACGATTTCCTAGATTTGATAAGGTACTATGGATACTGGAAACAGTTTATTGGCAATCTAACTACAGTACTCACCACAAAATCTAACACTATCTACTCCTATTCCGATTTCTCTTTCTCTTTTTTTCCCTCAAGCTATTCACGTCATGTTTTATTAATATTTGTTTGTTTGATCAAACTATGGACACTAACCAGATAAAACAAGACTCACCAGTAGTTTAAAAGAAATATAGCACTTGGTTAGAACTCAGAAAAGCAAAATCATGTAAGCAGTTATTCTGAAGCATTATAACCTGAGGCATTTCTCCATAAATCAAAAACAGCTTCACTGAAGTCTTTTATAGTCTAATGCTGCTAGTTTTGAGGATGCCTATCTTTTAATAAAGAGTTTTAGATATGAATTCAGATCAGGTTAAGTGTTTACAGTGAGAAGCAATATTAAAGAAGACAAATGCAGACAGAACTCCTCCCCACTTGAACATGGTCACATACTGGATCCGTAGCACAGCCAAGGATGAAAAACAAAACCCTTTTTATTCTGCAGCTACTGGATCACACTTCCTTCTGATTTCACTGAGAAATGGTGTCTAAAATATTAACAAAAAATGAGAATTACTTACCAATTTGTAACAATACAGGCGTTACCAAAGCTGTCTCCATGGCATAACAAAATTCCCTGCCAAACATTACTGCACCATGCATCACCCACAGGCGTATCGGTATCCGGTCTATGGATCCTTCACTAATGGTCTCCTCTCTACTTTCATTCTCCTTGTTTTCTGGTTTCTGAAGCTGTGCCACAGGTAGATCTTGAACTTGCATAGATTCCGAGTCAGCATTCTGGGGAGCCATTTTCATTACCATAAAAATATATATATATGTTATATCTATATAAATAATACTACCATAACTCCACAAACAAGTTAGGGTGTCTTCTCTTTCACCTTCTGTTCCTCAGGCAAGTAATGCTTATATTCCTCTTGTACAAACAAGTATCTTGCAACTTCTTGTGTAGATACGAGACATAAAGAATGGAAAGCTATTTGGTAGGAATTTCAACATATGGCTTGCTGGTTTACTGTGAGTTAGAGTTAAAAATCCATAATTGCCATTCAGTTAATACCAGTTTCATAATTATTATTGAAGAAGTGCTGAAGTTGTTATTCTTGCTACAGAGAGGTGGAAAGGCGACACAAAGAGGTGCTCCACTGTTAATCCCCATCGAGTGGCTGATTAATCTGCAACAAAAAGCAAGCATTTAAAAATTTCAATAGTATTTTCTCAGGATATTGTGCCCCCCCTTTACCATATACCCTATTTCCTGCTTCATGCTTTCCATTGTCCTTGCCTCGTGTAGGGGCTTTCATTCCACGGTCCCTCCTACCCCTGAACTTTCCATTGAAATGCCATTGTTCTTCATGTTTAAATGATGCCTAACTGTACTCCTGTGTGGTCCTGCACAAAGCCACAGAGGAATATATATATCAGTGTACATACATAAATATATAACAAGCATATCACGTTTGCCTGAGACCCTCACAACATCCAGCACAGGGCTAACAAACTCTGGGAAATTAAGGCAGGTTCCATTTCGGAATCAGCATAGGATATTCCAGTACTAAGCCAGGAAGATGACTCCTATGCCAGGAAGATGATTCATAGATTGCCACTTGCTCCCTAGCCACGCAGACTTGTGTTCAGTCTTTTGGAAGTTGCCAGCTACCTTGCACCTAAGATCCCATAGCTCCCATGACCTTATTAATACTAGAAAGTCAACTGCACTGATAGAGAAGCATATCACTGTGCAAATTGAGACCAGAATGATATTCCTCAAGCAAACACGAGCAGAAATAAGCTGTTAGGAATATAATTTGAAAGATTAGTATTTAAAATATTCAAAATTTCAATGAAGTGATATCCACAGTATACACATCTTTCTGCACACAAGATCTGAGCAAACCTTCATACTCTAAGGAAGGAGAGTTTTACGAGTAGAATGGTACAAAATATGCCACTGTACATTATTTCTGAAATATATTCCAACCAGCTGACAAATCTTTGTGTGCTCTAGCATAAACCAGACCATTGGGCAGAGAATGTAAAATAGAGACTGAAGAAAGTGGAGACATCAGCAGCTCTTGTTACCGTGACCCTACAAACACACCATCTACTGGAAGCGTAGCAAAGGAGCATCTCAGGAGCTCCTTCCTGCTGATACCTACCTCAGAGCTGTACCCCAGAGGATTCTGTGTACGTAATTTGTTCATCCACCCAACAGCTTTTTTTTTTTAGTCTGGGTTTTTCCCCTCCCAAGTTACCCCAAATTACTTAAATTTTGAGATCTAATGACCGCAATAACAACGTAAGCCTAGAATTTCCTTCTGAGCTAGTCAAATCATGTGAGAGAAGTTAAAATAAATTACTGAACACATGTTATAGGGCAAGGTTTAATTCTCAAGCGTTTTAACCCATTCGCAATAAACAGTTCACTACATACAGGTCTCAAGAAAGCATTTCTTCACTCATTCTGTACTAAAAGGAGTTGAGATGCACTGCCTAGGGTTACTAAATCAAGGCCCAGACAAGTAATCGGTCAAGCTCTTCATAAGCTCCTTGGTTTCTCTGAAGCACTTCCTTCTCATCACCTTGGATTTGCATATGGTAGAGTTCATTTCACAGAACAGAATCATTAAGGTTGGGAAAAAAACACAAAGATCACTTAGCCCAACCATCAACCCATCCCCACCGTGCCCACTGACCACGTCCCACAGTGCCATATTTATCCCTTCTTGAAAGCTGCCAGGGACGGTGACTCCACCACATCCCTGCTCAACCTGCTCCAATACCTCACTGCTCTTTCTGAAAAAGAATTTTTTTCCCCATAGCCACCCTGAACCTTGCCTGACCTTAAAGCCATTACACCTCTTTCCACCTTCCATCATTAGCATTGTGTTGAAGCTGCATCAGGAAGGGACGGGATTCTTTTACCTTACTTCAGTATACGAGGTCCCAGCGCACTCCTTGAATAGCTATTTTAGTTTAACATAAATAGGAATTAAAATTAAATTAGGGGAAAAAAACCAGCAGAACGCACATGCTTGTAACACAGGTTTTGGGTTAAAAAACCCAGCAGAGCACAGGTTCCAGAGTAGGAGTGATTATTTTAATTACAGTAATAAAATATTTAATTGCTGGCAGACTGAGGCAAAATTACCTTCAGTAGAATTAGTAAGATTACATATCGGGTTTTCCTACTCAGAAATCTTTCAGTACACGCGCATGGTATTGTGGACTAAGGGTCACAAATAACACTTCTGCACTACATGGGTTTAAAGATTATTGCTTTTTCTCATGCTCGGTTTCTCCTCGTGTCACTGCAATGAGGGATTTGACTTAATTCCTCTACGTACGTCATTTAGTAGGTAGTTACAAGATAGCAGAAGCATGGATAGAAAGGCAGAACGTTTTACAATGCAGTGGGGCAGCCTGAATACACAAGCAGAACTGGCTGGGAGCATTTCTCATGGCAAAGGGGAAAGAGGCAGCAGAAAGAAACAGAGGTGAGGTTTGGGCCATTTGAGCAAGGCTGTTAAGGCTGTTCAATGACTGATGAAGTCATGCCCAAAGTGGAAGATGATGGGGACTGATCAGTAATTTAAAAGACAGGAATAAGGGATGACAGATGATGCAAGTAGACTTTGAAGCTGTAACTGACACATAAAAAGAACAGTATATGTTAAACATGTCAAAAAGAAAAAGCAGTTGCAGTATTCAAGTGCAGTATCAAAAGGCCCAATGGACAGGTTTTATCTAAAGTAACAGGGAATTACTATTCCATTATGCCAATTTGGTGGTGAGCATTACGCTACTCTTCCTGCAGCACTTACATCTGACTCCAGATGAGTGTCTAATACATCAACTGCACAGCAACAGCCTCTGGAAAGGTCTTCAGCTCCTTTGCCAGCCCCTAGGCTGGGTTCAGATGTGTTTTAGACAGATCCTCATTCTTCCTCAAAGCTCATTTCAAATTCAGCAAGCTTGAATGGTAGCATTCTTTTGTAACAAGAACAGGGAGGCAAATTCATTTACCTGATGGAAGTAAATATTCCACAAGCTCTTATCTAACAAAGAGCTCCAAATACAAACTAAATGGCATCCACAGAGGAGCTGGACTGAAATACTGAGGAGGATGTGCATCCATGAATGCATACAGCACAACTCTGTTTAGTAACACCAAAACTTCACTGATAATACTTTACTAAATTGAAGCACTGAATATCAACAGGAATTTCTAATATAGCAGTCTTTCCTCATGAGTTTAATGGCTTCATTTCATAAAGGGTCAACCTACGAAATACTCTTGCATTATTATCCTTCCCAAAAGAAAAGTGATGCATTAGGCTTACATTTTACCTGTCATTCATGCAGCATAGATAGAAGTCAAACAAAATAAAAAATTTTAGCTGCATTTATGGAAAAGAATAGAATACAGAATAGAAAGAATATCCTGCATTGGAAAGCACCCTTAAGGATCATCCAGTCCACCTCCTGGATCCACACAGGACCACCATAAGAAGAGGAGATGATTTCCCTCCCTCTGCCATGTGTTCTCCCTACTTTTGATGTTTTAGAAGTCATTTTCAGGACTCCCACAGAATCACAGAATGGCCAGGGAGGGACCTCAAGGATCATGAATCTCCAACCCCTGCCACATGCAGGGCCACCAACCTCCCCATTTAATACCAGACCAGGCTGCCCAAGGCCCCATCCAATCTGGCCTTGAACACCTCCAGGGACGGGGCATCCACAGCCTCTCTGGGCAGCCTGTTCCAGCACCTCACCACTCTCTCTGTAAAGAACTTCCCCCTGACATCCTACCTAAATCTCCCCTCCCTCAACTTAAAACCATTTCCCCTTGTCCTGCCAAGGACTCCCAAGGAATACTGGAAAGAGAAAGCAGAATTGTTTGAGCCTCAGAAAGGAGTTAATGTTGGACACTGCTCAGAGGCAGGATATAAAGAGAAGTACAAATGCAGAAGTATGTACTCATAAAATGCAGATGGGAGGAGGGAATTTGATTACGCTCTTCTTCAGCCTAACTGCACATGTTTTACTTGAACTTTGGTCACACTGCGACAATAGTAGAACCTAAGGAGGAGTAGTTAACATCAACAAACCAGGCAACTAATATACTGAGGACTAATCCATAAGGAAAGTCGTATAAAAACTTGCTCAGATTTCTTGTAATCTTATCTTGTCACACTTTTACCACCCCTCACCTAGGTGTAGGTCGTAATGCAATGGCATGAAGCACAGAATGATGTGCTACAAGCCTGACGAGGCGATACCACATCAATCCCGTGCCTCAGACGGGTCATGCTCACAGTTTGTGAATTGCCCAAGCAGCACAGGAAGATTACTGCCTCCTCCTGGGTTTCCAAACCAGAGGACTGGTTACGTAGGTCGTGTCCAAGGCCCACAACATTTGGCGGTTCTCTTTTTGAGCAGGATGATAAGGGCAGCACAGAGCGTGCAAGCCAGATAATTACACAACACAATGCCTCAGGGAAATGACTTCCATCACGTTTCCCATCACGTTTAGGACTTGGAGGCTGACAAGCAGCGCTTTCACATTCGTGACACTGGAGATCAGATGATGGGCAATACAGCCATCAATCCCCAAACAGAGCATAAATGGGGTTAACAGCCATTCTGCCCAAATCTGTTAAGACTGAACTATTTTTAATGCATGTTTCCAGTATCTCTTGCTTACAAGGAATAGGAATGTACTGTTCTACAAGCAACTAGATATCCCAAGCCACTGCCAAAGCAGAAGACTTTAATTCAGCTATGTAACATGCAGCACAATTCAGGTAATGACACACACAGTTTATTAAGCAGTAATAAAGCCCAGCTAGTACATGGAGTTAAATGGGCCCAATTGGATACCAGGAGAAAATTCCAGTGCCTCCTCTGAAGCTGCTAGGAAATCGCTGCAGCATTTATTAGTGTAAGAAATATTCATTTTAGCAGAGTAGGCATGTGTTAATTACAAAATCTTAGTCTTTAAAGGAGAAATAAGCCTGGTCTAAGGAAAATTTGAGTGAGCAAATTGGAAAGAATGGAAACTGTTCTGCCAAAAAGCTATGAAATTACTAAAGGAATAAGTGGAATTGAGGCATTCTCCCATCTCATCCCGAGTTTCAGGGTTTATTGTGTCAACTTCCAGTCACTTATT